ATCACTCACTTTTATTAAGTTACATGCCAGCCCCTGTTCTAAGCTTACCACTTGCATTTCCTCATTTGATTCTCACAGTATCTTTATAAAGTCAGTATTTTTTGTAGTTGGCATTTACAGATGAAGACAGTGATGAATAGAGAAGTTGAATCTTTTGCTCAGTGTATTGGTTTGAATAAACCATACCCAATGCCATCAAGTGGAATCCAAGTCACAGCAACGCTGTAGGACACAGTGGTACCACCACACAGCATTTCCTAGGTTGTCAATCTTTATGGACTCAAACTGCCACATCGTTCTCCCTCGGGGTGGCTGGTAGGTTTAAAGCACCAACCATCTGTTAGTAGTGAGTGTTTAACCACTGTGCCGCAGACTTGTGGTTTTGACCTTATTTGAAAAGAGAGTCTTTGCAGATGTAATCAAGTTACGATGAGGCCATACTGGATACAGTGGCTCCTAATCCAACATGACTGATGTTTTTATAACAAGAGGGGATTTGGATACTGAGACACACAGTAGAAGGCCGGATGATGATGGAGGAAGAGACTGAAGTGAAACAGCTGGAGTTCTGGTGTGGGGCTGCAGGAAAAGCACTGTCCTACTAAGCAAAAGACCAGTAGTTTAAGCCTACCAGCTTCTCCTCAAAAATCCTTGACAAGGTCGCTATGAGTCAGAACTGACTTGATGGCACAACAACAACAACAAGTCAAGAAAATACAAGAACTGCTGTCACCCACAAAGAGCCCTGAGACAGGTCTGGACAGACTCTCCCTCAGAGTCTTCAGTAGGCGCATGACCCTGCAGACACCTTGATTTCAGATGTCTACTCTCCAGAGCCAAGTAAGAATAAACTTTGGCCGTTTTCAGCCATCCAGTTTGTGGTACTTTGTTCCTGCAGCCCGAGTGTGAGAAATGTTGTTGATACTCTGGATACTGCTTCGGTTCCTTTTGGTTATGAGGTCATTGATGAGTTATCACAGGTGCTTACCAACAAACACTCAAGAAATCCAATCTGTGCTCATTTTAATGAGAGTGAGGTTTTCTTTATTTGATTTTGCAAAATCAGGCACCCAACCCAGTAGACATGGGAAGATGTGATGCATGGCTGGCTCACAATAAAATTTAGTCCCCTGTTTTGAGAGCCCATCCCCCAGTTAGTGTGGGGTTCACAATCTAGCCAGGGATGGAACCCATTGCCTTAATGACTGTATTCTTATTTAAAGTTCCTAGTCCTACAACAGATTTCTTTCCCTCCTCCCCCAGTTCATCCTGCTCACATACCCCTGGGTGTAAATCAAAAAACTACATCTGGTCTAGCAATCTCATGCTCCCTTTATTTCTAAAGATGGACCATCTTGAGAATTTCTTACACTAGGAAACCAATACACCCCTTTAACAGCTAGGGGAGAATTAGAAGTCAAAAACTGACCTAATTCCAGGCTCCAGGCTCTCCACTCCCAGAATCTTATTTTCTTTTACTTTTTTTATTCCTTTTTAACTGTTCCTGTTTCCTCTACAGGACACATTTGGTACTTGTGAAACTGACTCCTAAATCACATGTGGAGCTAAGTCAATCAGTGTAGGCCAAGGTAATTGACATGTGAAAGGACATGTGACTTGAGCCAGTCCAATCAGAATGAACAGCAGGGTTGGAGATAATACCATTATACTTTGGGCAGTGTAGCTGTGAGGCCTACAATTGCTGAAAACCTGTCTGAGAGTGAAGTCAGTATACAGGGGGAACCAAGGAGAAAGTACTGAAAAGAAATGGAAGGGTTGACAACAGCATGACCCTTTGTAACAAATCAAAGCTGAAGTCTGAGTTCCTCAGGGCTTAGCTGTCCCCAGAACCAGTGAGTCCTTGTGCTTAAGTCAGATTGAGATGGGTTCTCTCTTACTAAAAGCCAAGAACATTCTAAGTGATGTGACTATATTGCCCTTAATCTTTTTTAACATTCAGCCTGGACCTTTACCTAATAAAGCTTCCACTGGGCACTGGAATTTCCATCAAAAATATATTTTATAAATTATATATATAGGGATGGGAATTTCCCTCAACAGTTAAAGGAGGACCTGTGGACAACAAGAAGAGTAGAGCTGGATGATTTGCAGCATTCTTTGGTTTTGAAGATATAGCATAGCCTTTAACAAAACTGATTTTTGTTTTCAAGCAAATTTATAGAGAAATATTTAGGTTGCTTGATGGTAGTTCTGAAACAGTAATCTCTGAATGAGATGTGGAGAGAATTTAGGTTCTTTAGAACATTGTTAGTGTGTGTACTCTCTCCCTCCCATCACCCATCCAGCATCCCCACAGGTAGGTGGCCTTAGAAACTTGGTCGAGGTTTGTCCACCTGTCTTTCAAATGCCCCTGGTTTCTGGAGTGGTAGTCACACTTGATTTGCTAGATTGGTAAAAATTGATAATAGTTTTGACTGTCCTCCTTTGAAGCACATTTTAAACTTGCAAGAGTGAATCTGATGATGAAACTTAAGGACCCTGAGGACATATTTGGGGGATCACGCATCTAGTGAAACTAATGTGTGCTCAAACATGGCTGACGTTATCCTGTATATGGGAATCCTCGTGGAGACCATGCCTGTAGAATCTCTGTGTTTTTCTTTCTATCTCTTATACACATTTCAATCACTTTTAAGATGGGAGAAAAAGGGAAAGGGAAGCAACTGGGTTTTAGAAAATAAAAAGTGAGCTTAGTGCCACATTTTTTGCACATGTCCTTGGAAGGCTGTGACAACTGTCCCAAGCTGACAGAGGACACAGAGTCTACAGCAATTTCCTCTGACTCCTGGCACCCCCATGTGTGTCAGAGTAGAAGTTGCTCCTTAGGGTTTTCAGTGGCTCAGTTTTTGCAAGTAGATCTCCAGGTCTTTCTTCAGAGGCATCTTTGGATAGATTCAAACCTCCAACCTTTTGGTTGACAGCAGAGCATTAACCATTTGCACCACCCAAGGGCTGACACAGAGTCTACCCAGGACCTTAGCTAGCTGCAGAGATGCTTACTGAAAAGAGTCAGCTGAGTGCAGTTTGCTGTTGTAAAGTGCTGTGGAGTCAGTTCTGATTCAGAAATCCACCTTGCTTACGTGTGCGCATAGTGGTATCTCCAACCCTTCTGTGTTTTGAGGTATAGACACAACAAGGCTTTTCTCTCAAGCATGAAGAACACTGCTGTAATTGTGTCTCCCCATAATGCAGAAAATCTCAGATGCTGGTTTGGACATTTTGATTCTCCACACATTTTTATTACCTGCTATTCAGAGTGGTCAGTGAATCCCTCAGTGATGCAAATGGTTAAGTGCTTAGATACTAACCAATGGTTGGCAGTTTGAACTCGCCCAGAGAAATCTCATTAGACAGACCTGGTGGTCACAGCCTTGAAAACCCCACAGAGCAGTTCTACTCTACACACATGGGACCACTATGAGTATGAATCAATGCAATGGCAAAGAGTTTGTGTATGTGTGTTTGTTATTTGAAGCAGTCAAAGTAATTAAAAGCAATTCAAGTTTTAAAACTGTCCCCCCTTTTGATATGGCCATATACATTTATGAATAGAAATGGCCTATAAATAATAAAATCAATCCACTTACTTGAGTCCAGCCCTTTAGCAGGAGGAAGAGGGCAGACTCTTGGTTCAGAGATGCTGGAGGGAGGGTGGGAGGAGGGCACAGGAGGATGGAGAGGTTCCAGTGCCTTCTGTGTGATTCTGCCCAGCTTGGGAGAAGAGGTGGGGAGCTGTTGGAACTGTCTCTGGAGAGGCCTTCTGCCTTTTACTGAGGGCTCTAAAGATGGTGTGTCTCTGAATATTCATATACGTACACATTCATCCAGTGAACACGTTCATCCAGTGAACATGTTCGTCCAATGAACATGTTCTTTCAATGTGTTCACTGGTGGATGTGCAGCTTTTGAATATTTTAGGGAACTGTAAGGCAATGAAGGCAGCAACATTGGTTTGCACACAATATGTCCTAAGAACTGAAATATTTCACTGAATGAATGAATGAATGAGAGCCATTGTGTGCTGAGTCTGACATAGTCATGCTCTTCATTATGAAGGTGAATTGAGTGTTTGGCCTTAAGATTTCATTTCAAGTGCGATTTTGATGCCACTCTTTGTGATAGCTAATTTTGTGTCCATTTGACTCAGTTCTGGTGCCCAGTGTGGTTGAACACTGGTCTAAATGTTGCTCTGAAGATATTTTGCTGATGTGATTAACATTTATGATCAGTTGCCTCTAAGAGATTACCCTCAGTGATGTGGGTGGACCTAATCCAATCATTTGAAGACTAAAAACTGAGGCTTCCAAGAGAAGGAATCTGACCTTAGGATTGTGACAGAATTTCAGCTGGAGTTTCAAGCTTGCTATCTGCCCTGTGGCATTCAGAGTGACCAGCCCCTACAATTGCATGAGTCAATCCTTAAAGCAAATATCTTTCCCTACACATGTATACAATACCTGACCAATAACACTGTACACCAGGTTTCATCACTTCTCATTCATAGTGGTCCAGGAGCTTGGGGACAAAATGTCCCACCTTCTCAGATCCCTCCTTTTTAGGTTTTCATTCAGAACATCTCAGGACTGGGTGTGCTATGCCAACACCAGGCATTTGTGTCTGGAGGAAATTACATTTGCAATAAAACAGTGCTGAGATTCTTGGAACAAACTACAATCAGTAGGGGTGGGTCAGCTTTCTTTATTCTTGGTGACTGTGGAGCAGGACTCCTGAGGTGTGCGTGAGGTGACCAATTAGTAAAGGATGATTGACCTTTGCCACTACTTACAGATCAACATGATCTCATTAAACTTCAGTAATCTTAGGGGTTTAATTGTATCTGTGGAATCTGGGGAGGTTGGGTTTGGGAGTTTAGATTAACCTAAGCTCTTTGGTGAACATGCTTTGTTCTTCCACCACGTGTTCAGTTTGAGATGCTTCCATTTCCACAAGACAGAGTGCTGTTGGACTGCGGGACACCATTAGTAGCAAATGACAGTGGCATTGGCACAGGCCAAGATGGAGCGGCGTTCATTATACAGTTTCAGCAAGACCTCGTATTCTCCCTGCCAGAGACAGAGGGGGAGCATTAGGCACACGCCCATTAGGCAATCAACCAAGGAATAAATATGTACTGAGCACCTTCTATATACAGGTGTCCCTGGGTGGTGCAAACTGGTAACAGTGTGACTACGAACTCTAAGGTTAGCAGTTTGAATCAACCCAGAGGTACCTCAAAAGAAAGCCCTGGTGATCTGCTTCAGAAAGGTCACAGCCTTGAAAACCTTCTGGAACACAGATCTACTGCGAGTCAGATCTACCATGAGTCAGAACTGACTCCAAGGCAACTGGTTTGATAGTTTGGTTTATACTCAGAAGTACCTGGGTGATAAAAACAGTTAACACATTCGACTGCTAACTGACAGGTGGATGGTTCAAGTCTACCTGAGGCACCTTGAAAGAAAGGCCTGGCAAAGTACTTCCAAAAAATCCACCATTGAAAACCTTATGGTGCACAGCTCTCCTCTGATCCATTCGACACCATGAATTGGAGTCGAGTCAGTGACAACTGGTGGTTTTCTGTATGTGAGATATCATTGTATATTCTGGGGGGAAAAGAGAACAAGGCACACAAACCCCTGCCCTGTGGAGGGAAAGAGAGACAATCATGCGTTATAATCAAACACCATGGTATGTTGCTGTTGTTAAGGGGTTTGGAGTCCATTCTGACTCCTAGTGACCCTGTTTAGGGTTTCTGAGGAGCAGAGTATAGCAGATAGTGGGATGGACTGGTTCTGATTTGCAATCTTAAGTAGAGAGTTCAAAGCAAGCCCTGCTGAGAAGGTAGCATTTGGATCCAGATCTCAAGTTGCTGCAGGCATGGGGGCTGTGTCCCAGCACATGGACCTGTCTGTCTCTGAGGAACAGCAAAGAGGCCTCACCCTGAGAGGAGTGAGGGGAGACAAGGGCAGTGCTGTAAAGGGCAGAGTGGGTCGTGGGCCCCACAGAGGACTCTGGCCTCCACTCTGAACGGATGTGGCTCTCAAAGAGATTGGAAGAGATGTGAGCTGTTTTGTGCAGGTGTTGATGCAGCTGCTGTGTTGCAAGAACATGCTAAGGAGAGGATGGCAGAATCAAGAGCAAAGAGGAGGCTGTGGCTACAATCCACATTGTAGGTATGTGGGTTTGCTGACTCCCAGATCCGGAAGTGAAAATACACTGCTATTTGTGGGGGGAGAGAGGTAGGGGGCAGAAGAGTAGAGGGGTGAAAAGGGTGGGGAAGGCACAAGGAAATCCTAGAAAAACTTTGAACCACCTGCCACACAAAAGAGGAAAGGGATTTATTTTGTAGGAAGTCTGAGGACAGGAATAAGATCACTGGTTAGAAGTTGCCCAAGTAAGAGCTTTTGTTAGGAAAGAACAACTTTCTAGCAATTAGCAGGTCATTGCGAGTATGGATTCCCCAACATTGCAAATTGTATGGGGGAGACCCATGCTTTCAGTTGAGGATTGATAAGAATAACCTTAAGGCATCAATCAATGGACAGATGCTGTACATCTATAGACTCCCCTAAGTCTGATTTTTGATAGTGAGCAGTTATAATTTCATCAGAAGTGTTAGGGATTTAACCAAACCAGTGTGAAAGTTAGAGAATTAATGATGGGTAAAAGTCAACTCACAGTTGTATTGGATTCTGTGTTTAATAACAATAATAATAAGAAATTAACTTTCTTTTAACTCTTCCTGTGCATTTAAGCATATTCCCTATACATTTACAGAACTCCAAATGAAATTTTGCTTCATTGCTTATGAGTTTAGGAAGAAAGGCAGTGTTTGAAGGGAAGAGAGCATAGATGTGGATTAGATGGCATCCACACTGAGGTTTAAGAAGGGGGAGGAGTTAGGCAACTGTGCCAGTCTGTGGGCATGTGGTAGCAGAACCAGAGATACAGACTACCAACAATGATAGCCGCCACCTTTCTCTGGACAAGGAGAAAATGGAATTTGGTAATTTTGTGGTTCAGGCTGTTGTCGCCTATGAAGGTTGGGAGCCCAAAGGATCTCTAATTTCTAATTCAGAAAACAGTTGTCAGAGGAAAGTGCAGGGTTCGAGGCAGGACATCCATTCTGGGACAGGGTGCTGGATTTGTTAAAGAGAAGTAGATATCTAGAGACTGGAGACTTAGTGCTGACTGGAAATGCTTCTGACCAAACAGGGGCTGCTATCTTCCCAGAGCTCAACTCTGGGGGGTTAGTTTGAGGGAAGAACATGGGAAGGTCTTTTAAACACAAAGACTTGGCAGTGTCTCCGTCCCATATTATGGAAGCCAAGTCTCTGTGTGCCAGCTGGTTGGCGGCCAGAAAGGCCTGGGCTGCTGTCGCTGGTATGTTGCCAATATGGGGTGTCTATGCTGGGAGCTCTGGTAGCGTAGTGGTTACAAATCGGGCTGTGAACCACAAGGTCAACAGTTCGAAACTACCAGCTGCTCCACAGGAGAAAAAGGTTCTGCTCCCGTAAAGGTTTACAGCCTCGGAAACCCTGTTCAGGGTCTCTTGGGGTCAGAACTGACTCAATGGCACTTAACAACAATGCTTGGATTCAGGTCCCCAGCTGCCTTGCTGCATATATGGTGTGCCTCACCTAGACTGTGTACCCTGTCAGGTCTGTCCAGGGCTCAGCAGGTTGGGAGGCAGGTCCGCAGTACTTGGCAGGCTTCATCGGCTAGGGCCTCAGGAAGGCTTGAGGTGGGAGGTTCAGACAAAGTCCTGAAGACCCTTCAGCTACACGTGCACAGAGTCAGGAGATCATACCACCCTCTCTGCTCTCACTCTGGGCAATGTCTCCTTGATTATCATATTAAAAAAAATGCCTCCGACTGCATTTCCCCAAAATGTCTTAGGTCAGGGGTGGAGAATGTCCAGCCCAGGAAATCATTTGATCTGGCCCTTCCAAGGTAACTGTAGTTTCATCCATCACATTTGTTGTTGTTAAGTGTCATTGAGTTGGTTCCAACTCATAGTGACTCTATATAGGGTTTCGGAGGAGCAGTTAGTGATCTTGAACCTTGAGATTCAAACTGACCTTGCAGTCCAGCACATTAACCACAGTGCCACACCAGGACTCCAGCTATCACATTAGGGATGAGTTCATGAAAAGTTTGACCAAATATGGCAGGCTGATTTTTAAGTTGATAATTTTGTATGGTCTGTGAATGATGTTACAAATTTTGCCAGAAAAAAGGTTCCCCACCAGGAGTCCTGGTGTGGCTCTATGGGTTAATGCGCCAGACTGCAAAGCCATTAAAACTGCAAGGTTGGTGGTTCAAGCTCACCAGTCACTCCTCGGAAACCCTATACAGGGTCGCTGTGGGTCGAAACCGACTTGATGGCACTTAACAACAACAAACCTCTGTCTTAGGTGATTGCAATAAAGTATTTTTACACTTCTGGTAAATTTTTCTTCAAAAGGATGCTATGCTTCTAAGAAGCAATTATCTGCTTTATTTCATTGCAATTGTTAGTAAGTGTTTGTTCTTTCAAAGCCATGAAAGCAAAATGAAAATCAACTGTTTGCAAATGTTAAATGACACTTCAGTAGGGAGAAGGCACCACTCGTTTGCTAGTTTGTCATACTGTACTGACTTGTATATTACAATGATGTTGGAAATGCTGTCACTGATACTTCAGACCCCAGCAGGGCCACCTAGGGTGGTCAGATTACAGGAAAGCTTCCAGACTAAGACAGACTAGGAAGAAAGGCTAGTGATCTACTTCTCAACATTAGCTGAACAAAACCTTTTGGATCACAAGAAAATAATTGTATAATATAGTTCTGGGTATTCCAGAACACATATTTGTGTTCATGAGGAGCTTGTATCTAGATGAAGAGGCAGTTGTAAGAACAGAACAAAGGGATACTGATTGATTGAAAATCAGGAAAGTTGTGTACCAGGGTGTATCCTTACACCATACTTATTCAATCTGTATGCTGAGCAAATAACCCAAGAAGCTGGAATATGAAGAAGAATGTGGCATCAGGGTTGGAGGAAATCTAAGAAACAACCTTGCTTGCTGAAAGTGAAGAGGACTTAAAATACTGATGAAGAGATAGATCAAAGACTCCAGTTTTCAATATAGATTGAACCTCAACGTAAAGAAAACAAAAGCCCTTACAACTGGATCAGTAAATGGTACTGTGATAAGTGGAGAAATGAATGAAGATGAAGTAGTCCAAGACTTCATTTTGCTTGGATGTACAATCAGCACTCAAGAAATCAACAGATGGTTCACTCCTGGGCCTGAGCGAGAAAGGCGCAGCTGCAGTTGTTGGTACAGCTGGAGGATCGCGGGCTCCCTAGGCACTATGAAACCTGAGGAGGTGGCAGGAGCCCAAGAGGTGCATGGACACTGATGCCACTGCCTGGTGGACGGTCCTGAGGGGCCACACCTTGGTGACCTTGGAATCTCACATCTGGAGATGCTGAACTGATGAGAACTGGAAGACAGCTTGAGCCTGGGGGTGACCAACAAACTTTTGGATCTAGAGGGGTCTTTGGGTTTTAGCATCCTTTAAGACTTTATTCACCCATTTCAAAGAGCTAAGAATACCTGCAGAGTTCTGGGGGGCGGGGGACCAACAAACTTTTGGATCTAGAGGGGTCTTTGGGTTTTAGCATCCTTTAAGACTTTATTTACCCATTTCAAAGAGCTAAGAATACCTGCAGAGTTCTGGGGGGCGGGGGAAGGGGGAAGTGCAGGCCAGTTTCCCAGTGCAAGCCACAGATTCATTTCTACAACCATGAGTCTGATTCAGACGACGAGGAAGAAGGAAAGGAAGAGATGGAGCCCTCTACACTTCATTGCCAGGAGGTAGAAGACCCTGTGGGAAGTGGTCCAGGGGGCAAGTGCAGGGAGCGTTTGATGCACTTAGAAGAGAGATACCAAGGGAGCAGAGGCCTCCATGGGAAAAATCTGCATTCCCTTGGTGACCCTTCAGGGAAAGTTGAGTCCTCCTTACCTAAATAAATCATTAACGGTGTCTTTCTTCCAACCCTATCCTGCTCTGGGACCCACTTTCACTTGTCTTCTTGGCAACAGCCCAGCCAGGACCCTTTGAATGTTCTGTTGGGCTGGCAGGGTGGTCAGTGTCCCATTCGTGAGTAAAAGAACTCAACTTTTACTTTCCTTTCTCCTTTTGACTGCTCTTTAGGACACAGAGAAGGTTTGTGTCAACATGGATTGCAATCAGTTAGGGTCAGCTTTCACAGAACATTCAGAACGGATGCTCAGACGATCAAATTACAAATCATTTCTACATATATTAATAACTACGTGGGTAAGCGCTTGGCTGCTGGCCAAAGGGTCAGTGGTTCGAATCCACCAGCTATTCCTTGGAGGTTTGCTCTTATCAAGATTTCAGCCTAGGAAACCCAATGAGGCAGTTCTACTCTGTAACATGTGGGGTCACCTTGATTAGGAATTGACTCAACAGCAACAGGAGTGGAACTATGCCTCTCAAGTAATCTGATCTGAGCTCATTCTTACTTTTGTACAAATGATTTAGATATTTCCCAAGGGTTGATGCGCGCCATGAATGGCATTCTGAAGAAAAGAAATCATGGGGTGAGTGTGGCGTGGTTGGAGTTTCTGAACAGTTTTCTGATCAGTTCATACTGTAAGAGTAATAGAAATAAAAATATATGGATTTCTACGGTGCAGTTCCTGATAAACATGTATATGCTCATTGTGTAAGGGCTGCATGTGTGTGAGTATACATTGTTGTTCTTAGGTACCATGGAGTCGGTTCCGACTCACAGGGACCCTGCACAGGGTTTCCAAGGCTGCAGATCTTTACAGGAGCAGAAAGCCTCATCTTTCTCCTGCAGAATAGCTGCTAGTTTTGAACTGCTGACCTTGAGAGGTTAGCAGCCCAATTCCTAACCACTACACTACCAGAGCTCCTTGTGTGAATATATAGAGAGAAGAAAATGAACGCTTCATGGGTGGTGACTGCTTTGGGCTTTGTACTTGAGTAGGATACACCTGTTTTCCATTAAAGTGCCTAATGTAAAAATATTTTTAGTTTTTATACTTTGATAACTAAACGTGTATATTCCTCAAAGTTTTCTGAATTAACTTTCTTACATGTGACAGCCTTTTTGTCCATACATACTACATTATGTAGGTTTCTATTTGAAATAAATATTTTGAAAGAAAAAAAAAAGAAATCAACAGTCATGAAATCAAACAATGTATTGCATTAGGCAAATCTGCTGCATAAGACCTTTTTAAATGTTGAAGAGAAAATATATTAGTTATGGGGCACCTGACCCTAGTCATGGCATTTTTTTCAATTGCTTCATATGCATGTGAAACTTGGACAATAAATAAAGCAGATCTTAGAAGAATCAATGCATTTAAATTAAGGTGTGCCTGACCCAAGTCATGGTATTTCTAATAACCTCATATGCATATGAAACTTGGACAATAAATAAGGTAGACTGTAGAAGAATCGATGCATTTGAATTATGGTGTTGGAGGAGAATATTGAAAGTATCACGGACTGCTAGAAGAACTAACAAATAATGTGTTGGAGAAGTTCTAGTCCTTACAAGTCAGGAAGATGAGATTTTGCCTTTCATACTTCATACATGCTATCAGGAAGTACCAGTCTCTGAGGGACATCATGCTTGGTGAAGTGGAGGGTCATCAAAAACAAGGAAGACTCTCATTGAAATGAATTGACCCAGTGACAACAGCAATGGTCTCAAACATAACAATTGTGAGGATGTACAGGACCAGGGAGTGTTTCGTTCTGCTGTGCATAGGGTTGCTATGAGTTGGAACCAACTTGACGGCACCTAATAACAACGAGTCCCAAAAGATGAATTCCCTCAGTTTGAAGGCACCACATGGTAACCACAATGGACTCTAATGTATCAGTGGTGATGAAAATGGTGCAGGACCAGACAATGTTTCATTCTGTTGTACAAGAGGTCATTATGAGTCAGACTGGATGGTAACTAACAACTATAATAGGCTATAGCTGAGGAGGAGGGAGTCAGAAAGAAAATGGAAAACATTCAAATTACAAAGATTTTCTTTTTTAAAAAATACTGCCTAGGAGAACTTTGACCCACACTGTGTATTTGTAGAAGTGAAGGAATTCTGAATTTTACTTCTTTACAAAATTCTTATATGCTAGGAGATCAGAGAAGGGAACTCTGGAGAAGAATCCCAGTGACGTTCTTAGCCTAGTGAGAATTCTAAATTGTTGAGAGAGGTGGCACTTTAAACATAGGAACCCCGAGGCTGCTACAGAAAGAAAACATACAAGAGAATTGTTGTTGTTGTTAAGTGCTACCGAATTGGTTCAGGCCCATAGCAACCCTGTATAGGGTTTCCAAGGAGCTGATGGTGAGCTTGAACCACCGACTTTGCAGTTTCAATTGACCTTACAGTCCAGCGCATTAACCCACAGCACCACACCAGGACTCTTACAAGAGCATAGATGTTATATTAAAGAGACTCTTTATGGAAGAGCTGCCTTTCTAGAGTTACATACAACTTTTAGAGGACTGAAAGGGTAAAACCAGAAGTAAACAAAAATATGAACTGTTATATTTTTGTGATTCTTTTAATGTTGTTTCTTCAGAGCCTCTCAGGAATATCAACCCCCTAAACAAGCCCACTTTTATCAAGCTGCTCCTGACTCATAGTGACCCTGTAGAGTATTTCCCAGGAGGTAAATCTTTTATGAGAGCAAAGTGTCATCTTTCTCCTATGGGGAAGCTGGTGGGTTTAAGCTGCTGACCTTGTGATAATCAACATAATGGGTTATGCATTGGATTGCACACCACAAGGTCAGCAGTTCAAATCTACCAGCCACTCTTGGGAGAAAGATGAAACTTTCTTCTGCTCCCATAAGGATTTGGTGGTGGTGGTGATAGTTATGCACCATGAAGACAGTTTCAACTCTTAGGGTCTCTGAGGCTGTAAATCTTTAAGGGAGCAGAGAGCCTCATCCTTCTGGTAGATTAGAAAGTTGGTAGATTCGGACTGCTGAGCTTTGAACTCGTACTTGGTCGCCATGAGTTGGACCTGATTTGACAGCACACTGGAGCAGCAGGGCTCCTTGAGGGACATATACTGAAACTATTACTTTGTCTTTGCTACTAGAATCCAGCCATTTAGTGAAGTCACATTATCTTGAACAAAAGCGAATACCTGGGAAATTCTACTCTTAGCTGTAAGCTTTGCCTGTGAGCACTCAGGTCAGGGTCATTTGGTTGACTTGGTTGCACCCCTGGATGGTGCAGGGACAGGAACTTGGAGGACATTTGCTACATTGTGGTTTGTGAATCCTCTTTTCCCTACGCTGTCAGCCTTCTTGAAGCATTATTACAGCACCATGTGACTCCCAAGCAGTGCCTGTCACATAGAGTTTCTGAGGACACCACTACCCTGTTAGACAAGGAACCCAGTCATCCTTTCAGTGGGGACTTTCTATTCAGAGGATCCCAAAGATTGAATGGAGTATAAAATGTTAAATACAGAAAGGTTAAAACCAGAGTATCAAGCATGTATAAGTACCCATATATGTTAGGTCTCCAGGTGTGGTGCTGTAGGATAAGCACTGGACTGTGAACCACAAGGTTGGCAGTTCAAACCCACCACTCCCTAAGAGTCAGAACCGATTGGACAGCACTTAATAACAGCAATAACATGAATTAGAACCAACTTGTTGGCAATGAACAACAACATGTACTAGGTGCCATATCAGAGGTTACAGCTTTATTAAAGTCCTTACTGGGAGGATTTTCTTAAGGAAGTTCTGTAAAACATTTAAAACTGTTTAATTCTTGTCTCCTCCTCCTCTTCCCTCTTTTTACTCTTTCTTCTCCTCCTTTTCTTTTCTTCTTCAAGAAGTCCATCAATATAATAATTAAGTAATGAAACAAAATAGAACAATAAAGCCTTACCTTAGGGATTTCTAATTCAGCATTATTGACAGGGCCAGAATAGTAAAACTGTTCTGAAAAACAAAAGAAAGAAAGAAGTATACATATACATATATATATTCCAGCTGCTCCTTGGAAACTATATACAGGACTGCTATGGGTCAGAACCAACTCGACAACACTTAACAACAACAACAGCAAACCTATATAGGATCACTAGAGTAGAAGTGAACCTGATGGCAATGACTTTGGATTTTCTTTTTGGTTTATGATTATTGGTTAGTATTGAGTGTTGTTCTTTCTTCTTTTAGATTGTTGTTACTGTTGTATGCCGTGGAGCTGGTTCCGACTCATAGTGACCCTGCTTAGGGTGTCTGAGAGTAGCTCATGGGTTTGACCTTCTGACCTTGTGGTTAGCAGTCCTGTGCTTATCTTACATTGCCATACCAGGGCTCTGTTTTTGTTTTTTTTTTTAAGGTTAGTGGTCACGGATTTAAAGAAACTCCAGTTAGCCTCAGACTCCTGGTGTGTCACTGAAGGATAAACACTGGAATTCTAACCGTAAGCTCAGCAGTTCAAACCCACTAGCTGCTCCTCAGAAACCCTAAGGTTTGCTATGAGTCAGAACCAATTCAACAGCACTTAACCATCCAGTCAGCCTTGATCTAGATTTTCTTAGCAAAATTCCGTAGCTCTGACACAAGAATCAAGAGAGTAGATGTCCTGGAGTTTTGCAGGATAAAAGTGATAAAGAGAAAGGCAAAGCTTTAAGGATGCATGCAAGAGGAAGATGATAACAACAAACCATTGAATCTAAAGAAGGTCAGAATGAAAATGAAGGCAGAGGGGGTAATTTGTAGGGAAAACAATGGTGAGCTTGCTTGAATGGAGTCTTCATTACTGAAATGAAGAATTTATTGCAAAGAAGAATAGGTGAGCTGGAAGGGTTTGGTGACATGGACATTTCAGAAATGGTACAGTATTCTGGCTAGAGATGACAGTGTCCAGAGTGACCTGGGAGAGGATGAATGTTTGAGGCAGAAACAGTTGATGGAAGCAAGGAATGAGCAGAATGAAATCTCTAGTAGGGGTGGAAACAGTGACAATTAGTTAATTATTCACCAGGACATGCAGAAGGTAATTCAGTGGGCACTCACTTGCTAAATGCTGAGGTACACAAAAGACATTAGCTTTGCAGTCTTTCTGCCAAACCAATATGCACAACTGCTAAGTTGTAGCTGCACCTTTTTTTCCTCCTCTAACTCTTATAAAAAATGGATGAATTTGGTACTTTGAAGAGTACCATTTGGATATCTAACATTTTGTTATGCTCATTTAATGCTTTCAGATTTGCTAATTTGTGCTCCTCACTATTAACAAGTTCTTTTCTGGGGTGAGAATTTTTCATTAAATAGGTCTTTTACACTTTACAGTTTCAATGGGAGCTTTTTCAGGGCCCATGAAGTTTCTGAGATTTGCCTCAAGTAACTCAGAAACTGTTTTTTTTCTTTTCTTTTCTTTTCACCCTGATGAAACAACACCTAAAATTAAATTCTCACTCCTTCTTTTCTCAGATCCTCTCTGGTTCTGAGATTCCTTTAATTAACATTCTCACACTCCAGGACTATAAAAAGAGCCCCACTATATTTGCACCCACTTCTTCCTTCCCTTCAGTTGAAATTGTTATCAGTGTTTAATATGTGGCAGATTAAAGAAATAAACCTCCCTGGTTCAGAACACATCAAGTTGTTTCTGGTAAATTGTCAGTTTTGACCCAGATCTTTGTGTGGTTGGCATGCTGTGTCTTTTTAGAAGGCGCGTTGGTTTTAAATTGTTGAAATTAAAGGTCCCAGAGGGTTTAAGATGAGACCGAGGTGAGACCAGGAGCCAGTTTGTTCTCAGTAACCAGTGCAGATACAGGCAAGCATGTGCTTACTGTACAAGTTCTATTAGGTAGTATTCTGGCTGTTCTTTAGCCCTGGCCGTATCTTAGAGGAATTCTCTTCAGTCTCCCAAATCTATCACAAAAACATCATCAGTACCCTTCTGTTAAGTTGTTACACTTGCTATCGCTGTGATGCTAGATGCTATCTATGCCTTCAGTATTTTAAATACTAGCAGGGTCAGTCATGGGCGACAGCTTTCAGCAGAACTTTCAGGCTCAGGCAGAGTAGGAAGAAATGGGTGATGTACTTCCAGAGACTAAGTATCACAAAAGAATATTGTCTGACACTGTGCTAGAAGATGAGTCCTTAGGTTTGAAGGTACTACTGTGACAGTGAGCTGAAATACAGCAGTGATCACTGAGCAGGCACAGGACAGGGCATGCTGCCTTTTGTTGCCCAGGGGGTCACCAGGCGTCAGAGCCTGCTAGACTGAAGCTAGTGACACAACTGGGATGGATTTATCCAAAAACAGTTACAATGAGTATACTCAGAAGAAAAACTGAAAGGAAAAAAAAAAAAAGACCCTTGATTCCTTTACTTAGCCCCTGTTGTTTGGACTCATAGAGACCCTGTATAGGGTTTCCTAGGAGCGGCTGGTGAATTTGAACCACCAACCACTGCAGTTCAAACCAAACTTGCAGTCAGTCCAGTGCTATCCTACAGGACCACACCAGGACTCTGCCCTTACTGAGCCCCTTTCCTCCACGCCAGGCCGTGTGCTGTCTGGGAGTCAGTGTTGAACACAGAAGATGAGCCCTGGTCTTGCCCTCCAGTGAAGCAGCAGAGACTGTTAGTATCAAGTGGGAGGGTGCTCTCAGTCTGCCAAGGCTCCTGAAGCATCGAGGTGGGAGCCGGTGCCTGCAGGACAGACTGGAGGCCGTGGGAGCTGGATGTGGGAGAGTATTTCAGGCAGAGTCAGAACATGGAGTCTCTGTCTCCGGAGAAGGAGGGAGAGCCTTCCTTCATTTTATTGGAGCTGTGTGTACGTGAGTCTATTCCCAGTCATAGAGACCTGATGTGACAGGGTAGATCTGTCCCTAGGGTTTCCTAGGCTGTAATCTTTACAGAAACTCATCTCCAGGTCTCGTATCCCGGTGGATTTGACCCTCTGGTTAGCAGCCGGTTTCTTAACCATTGTGTCAGCTGGGCTCCTTCATTGTCGCGGTGGTGGTTATGTGCCGAGGAGTAGGTTTTTCACTCTTGGTGACCCTGTATAGTTTCTCTGACACTTTAAATCTTTACAGGAGCAGAAGCCCACATCTTTCTCCCACGGAGCGGCTGATACATTTGAACTGCTGACCCTGCTGTTAGCAACCCAACTTCTAACCCACTACACTATTAGAGCTCCTTTCCTTCAGTGTTGTTGTTGTTATGTGCAGTGGAGTCGGAACCGACTCATAGCGACCCTGTACAGGGTTTCTGAGGCTCGAAATGTTTACGGGAGCAGAAAGCCTCATCTTTCTCCCGTGGAACAGCTGGTAGTTTCAAACTGTTGACCTTGCGGTTCACAGTCCGATTCGTAACCACTACACTACCAGAGCTCCTTCAGTGTAGTGAGTTTCAAATATAGTCTTTACTTCTCTGCCTGTTTCTGGTCATTCTGGTCATTCCGTAGAGACCCACGCCTGGCCAAGACCCTGCACCTTCCCCATCTCCACCCCATTCTCCCAAGCTGGTGGTTGGTGGCGGGAACTTAGTTTTATTAGGACTGCTGATGTAAAAGGAGCCCTGGTTGTGCCTTGGTAGAAACGCTCATCTGCTGTAACTGGAAGGCCGGTGGGTTCCACAGAAGGATAAGGCTGTCTGCTCCTAGAAAGATTTGGTGGTGTTGTTAGGTTTCGTCAAGTCGCTACCATTTCATAGTGACCCTGTATAAGGTTTCCAAGAGCAGCTGGTGAGTTTAACCAGTGCTCATCCAACAGTGCCACACCTGACTCAGCTCTTCTCTGTCCCATAGAGTCACTAGGAGTCTGAACCAACTCCAAGACAGTGCTTGGGGTTGCAGTTGGCTGATGGAAAATAATCATAAGCCTGCCTAGGGTTGGGGACCTGGAAGAGTGTACCAGCTAGTAGATAGGAGATGGAGTTGACTGAGTGGAGTCTGTGGGGATCTAAGGGCTCATGGTTTCCATGGTTTCTGGAAAGTGCAGGTTGGGATCCTCAGGTTAAGTCAGGCCTATCGTCAACCCTCCACTCCCCAGTGAACTCACTACAGCTCAGACCTGGTTCATCACCAGTGCTGGCATCTCGCCCCCCAGCACGGCCCTACTCCACCACTCTTTCTGCAGTCACTGAGGCAGGCTCCCAGGAAGGCGGGGAAATGGCCTCTGGAAATCCTCAGCCTAGACCAGCAGCCTTCTTTCAGAAGGACAATTCTGAAGGACATTCTATACTTCCCTAGGGTCCTAGAGGGTGGAGTGTTAGTCCTCTTAGTAATAACCAGCTCCTGGAGATGTCCGTCACTGGCTTTTCCTCCTGTTTCCTCGAATGACCAGTTATCAGTTGTGCTTGAGTCTATTCAAAGTGACAGTAGCCCCATGCGTGTCAGAGTAGAACTGGGTTTCATAGGGTTTTTGTTTGTTTGTTTGTTTTAATTTAAGGTTTTTATTGTGGATTGAGTGAAAGTTTACAGGGCACATCAACAGTTTCACATTCAACAATTCACATAACTTGTTTCATTACA